GCGAAGGGGGACCGAGGTGACCAGGGACCGGCCGGCGGGGATGGCACGAAGGGAGACCGAGGGGAACAGGGACCGGCCGGGCTGACAGGTTCTCCCGGTACATCGGCTACCAGGAACGTGAAGCAGTGTACCTGGGACAACCTGAGCAGTCAAGCTGCCTCTGGAGTGATTGTGGTACAAACGATTTTGTAAATGTTATTAAGCATTGGAAGAAAACGATCTATTGAATGCATGTATATATTACATTGTAGTAGTATTCCCAACATCACAATGCCTGAAGTTGAAAATTTCAAGAATGATTTGCCAGAGACTTGACAAAGAAACTGCACTGACGCACAAAACGGCTGAATGAACATATTTTCTATCCCACAGGAGTGTCCGTTCAACAAGTCGTCTTCGACATCTGCCCTGCGTTTGACATGGAACGGCGCCACCAGAATCATTAATTGGGCCAACACCCCCTGTTGTAAGCGCTGGTTCCTCACACTGAACGGAACCGAGTGCACCGATCCTGCTCCCATTGACGGCATCATGTACATGCACAACCGTGTTGAAGACGGTTACGTCAATGTCCATCGTGCGACCACAAGTAAGGGACCACGTTTCTTCCTTTTCCTTAAGTTATGATGACTACAAATGTGCAGAAACACACACACAGAGAGACAGACCAAAAACAATACCTCCATTTTTCATGAAGTTAAAAAATGTTAATTAAAACATTGAAATATAATGTCTTGGGAGTTGGGACTAAAAAATTAACGTGCTGTTCTGGTTCCCCCAGTTGACGGCCTGTGTTACGGCGAGCCGGCTGGTCCTGTGACGGTGGCCCTGAATGTCGGCCCATGCTCACATGATGGACTCGACGAAGGGTCACCCCACACAGGGTACAACTCCTACTCCCGGATCATCGTGGAGGAACTGGACATATAACCCGGAAATGATTACATCTGTCCCGGGAAAGAATATCTTGCTGAATCACTACTAGTATTTGTCAAAGTCGAAGACGACATGTTTGTTTGCTTTTAGATTTTAAGTTCGTCTTCAATATAGTCCTTTTGAGTTAAGCCACCCTTGGTAATGTAAAATGCTATGCAATGACGATATTTCTCCCAGAAACTGGGTATGAATGGATACATGATATTGCAGTGAGCTGTAACTGTTTTACAGAGTGTTGACGCTTACTTCTATGTGTCTTTTTGCTTATTTGCAAGTTTAGGCTATGTTGATTTGATTATATGGATGACATCCTCTGGGAACCCCAAAACTGATGCGAGCGTGCGAATAAAAAAAGTTTTGCAAGAAAAATGTTGCTTTCATTATCAAATCGGTAAAAATGTGTCAGAGTAATTAGATTTAAAACGCTTGAAGCCTTCAGTTCTGCGGCAGATTCGTGGGGTGGCCAATGGTACAGCTAGGAGACGAATGGATACAGGCGGATAATATAGACCCCCACACAGAATCTGCTTGGAGATTATCCCTCAGTGACCATGGCCATGGTCATGACTCCCCCCGTTCAGGTTCGTACCGCTGGTGACCACGGTAGGGTACGGGTCCTCCCGCCGGCATGTGCCGGGGTAGGCCCCGCCTGACGCCGTGTGGGCACCGTGGGTCGACTCGCCCTCCCCCACCACCTCCACCACCAGACCCATCCCCCGGTCCACGTGGTTCAGGTTGTGGCAGTGGATCATCTGTGTTCCCGTGAATCTAAAAAAAGAGAGAAAGAAACGTTCAGGTATTAGAGCCTTCTTTTCACACAAAAACAAGACAATCGCCGTTTATTTGGCACTGCTACCTTCCGCAGGCTATAATGACAGCTACTAAATGACTTATCACAGCTACTAAAACTGAAAAATCTCTAAAACTGCTTCTATCCGATGATTTACCAATAGGATGAATTTCTTCAAGAAGAGAACCACTTTTGGAGCCAACATAGATTCATACCTAGTCATCCCATATTCTATCACTCCAATTGAAAACCCTGAATCATTTTTCAGGGGATGCTGTCTATTATATGCATTTTCGAGTTCAGCAGAAGATTCTGTAACCAATTTTTCTGGCAACATAGATTGATCTGCGTGATCCCTCGCGCTGTTGATCACTTCGAAAAACAAATTTAATCACTCAGGTACGTTAAAACGTCTCAGAGAAAACCCTGACGTCACCTGTCAGCGACAAATCGGATAGTCATGCTGCCCAGAGGAGGTACGTTGATGGTATCCCGCCATTCCCCGAGCGGAATGTATCCTGGGATATCGTCACGTGACCTGTTGTGGTGACCGTGATACTTGAAGTTCGGCGGGTTTGAAGTCGGCCAGTCCAAGTTGTGGGCGAAGTGGAGAAACTGCTGGTCGCACAGATTTCCCTGGGAAACAAATTAAGACTAAATTTCACACACACAGGTTTGTGATCTCAAGGCTTAGCACGAAACAGTATATCAACACATGAAGAGGAATAATATTGTACTCAATTAAAATAAAGATGGAGACAAGACTTACTTGCAGGTCGTAGTATGCAGATTTTGTCTTGTTCACAGGGTGCAGTGCGCCCCAAGGATGGGTGTACTCGTTGTAGGAAATCACCTGCATTATTATTTTGATACAGTCAGTTTGCTTTTTAGAAAATCATCTACGAATATAAGCACAGCTATAAATGTATAAATGCAAGGACGACTGCTTTAATGAATAAAGAATAGCGGTAAAGGTAAAATTTAACTGACACGTATATTTTTAGGGACACTGTATTGTCACCTGTAAAATAATATCTAAATGTTGCCCACCTGGAAGTGATTGACGTGGATGTGGAGCGGATGTGGTTTGAGTTGTTCCGTGTTGATGACGTACCATTCCTGCATATATGATAAAATGTAAGGAAGAAGAAGATTTTATTACATTCCCCAAGGACGCCGTAACACGTAGGGCCCAGTCACATTCATTGAACGATCGCGATACGATCGCACACTATAGCTAAAGCATTGTTGGGACAATTTTGCAAAGTTCGACTGTCTTTTTACGGAAAAGTCTGTCCTAAATCCTTGTCAGCGGATGGTCTCTCTCAGCCTGCATGAAAACTCTACTACATCAAAAATACACGTATTTGATGCAGGAAAATGCAGGAACGTTCTATCATCTTACCTGAATGGTGCCGACCCTGTACTTGTAGCGGTTGTACGCGGCGTCCTTGAAGTGTTCCCTGTTGACCTCGTGTTCGGGTCCGAACTCCAGCACGAACCGCCCGTCTATCTCACTGTCCGCTACCGTGCGCAGGTCACGGTAGTACCAGGGGTGTGCCGGAAGTGACGTAGGGAAGTGCTCCAGTTCGAACACAGCAGCCTTTTCTGGGATCAGTGATTTGATGACAAGTAAGAGATTGAACAAGACACAAACTCAAGGAGAAGGGATGCTGCAAGGCGGTATTTTAAGTTCTTCAGTACTTCAGACTGTTAGAAAACCTTTGGAATTTATTTTTCTACCTCAAGAGTATAAATAGTGACAAAAGAAAATAATTGCCTATCCTCATCCACACATTATATAACAGCACTGCAACATTCAGTAAGCATACTAGTAAGGCACTATTGTCTATGATTTTCGGTGATGTATATTATCAGTATCGAGATTATCAGTATCGAGAGGAAAAGTAGTAAATTATTCCTCTTAGGAAGCTATCTGAAGATTCACCTTCCACGTGCAGTGTAAGCAGGTCTTGGTCGAATCGCATCTGCCAGTACTCGGATGCCAGGATAGGGTCATTCTCTGGTGCCATAACTGTCGTCATCTGGGCAAGCAAGTCAATGTACGAGAGCTCAGCAAACCTGGTACAACAATTTGGTGTTCACAAAATCCACTAGCCTCTACCAGGCTTTTGGAGGCGGCTGGGAAGAGTAAAAATTAGCCTAGCACGGCTCCGTATCTATTAGGCCATTTTCAAGCGCTTTCAAAAGCATGGTAAGGGCTAAAATTACTACAGCATGCAAAAACTCCAAATTGATCACAATCTTCATCAATCTATATTTTCACCCACTAGATAGTCTGGCAAATCAATTAATTGTTTGGTACATGTACAAAATTTTTCCATCAACATTGCCACCTATTGGCGAGAGGTAGCTCGTGTAGTATCGCCTTAAGAAAGGTAGAAAGACACTCCATGTCCATGGTAGTTCACATGTTACAACCTCAAACCTACCGTGAAGTCTCCAGAAAACCAACATCTCACTGCGACATCAACTCTCGCTCCACCGGACAGCACTACCATATGAGTCCGATAGGGGGCGTCCACGTATATGCCATCCCAAGCCAGCACCATCATCTCACATCCTACTAGCTCTGAAAACAAAATGCAAGAATTTCAGGTTTGTGACGAAGGATACGTGAGCAGAATACACAATCAGTGATGCAACAAAGATAATCTCGAAATAAAAAAGTGAAATGTAAACGTATATTGTACCTTTAAATTTGATTTCCAGCACCTCTATTGTTGCGGCGTTCAGGATGCGGAACCGTTTTACCTCTCCTACAGTCATTGTCACAGTAGGCCACAGCTGTCCTGAAGAGCAAACAGTAATTGCAAAATAGTTAAAATTCACATCTCTGATAGATAAAAAGGTTCTCAATAATTGATAAGAAGAAAACGTAATGTATTTTCAATGATCTGTTTTGTTGAATTTTTGGCCACTTCACATTTACGAATACGTTTGGTGAACTTGCTACAACAGAAAATAGTAGGTGATAAGGATTTTATAGATGTAAATGACATACCGTTAGTGAGGATGTGGTCCACGCCGTTAGCAGGGTCCATCAGCCAGTCCTCCATGGTTCCCGTACCAGAGGAAAGCTGTTCCAGATTTCTGAAAAGTTTGCAAGTAAAGTACACCTTTTGAATAAGAACTGCTATATATATGTTATATACCAATAGATGCTTTGTACCGTGTACAAACGTACCGTGTACAATTATTTTGCAATTACATGTAAGTTATTACTATTATCATTAGTTCTATATGCTCGTATATCTATATAACTGCGTCAAGAAGCGAGAAGAAGATGAACATGTAAATAGTAGACAACATTAGTATGTATAGTTTAATTATTGCTGTATCCTTTCCCTTGTCTATTCATGACCTGTACTTAGCTTGTTAGAGAACAATTTAACGTACAATAAAGGTCTTTCATTCATTTTTATTCATTCGTTATCTCGTAAACCTTTCAAACGTAGACAGTTTTCTCAAAATCTACCTTGACGGATCCCCTAAAGTTTTCTGCAGGTTGGAGTAGCTGAGGATGGGGTCTGGATCCCGGAAGGTGTACCGGAAGTTGGTACCGACCGCCAGCTGAACATCCTTGTGACAGTTCAAAGGGCAGGAGATGGCAGACAGTTCGGGGGACATGGCTGTGACGTCATCTTCAACTATCACAAACCCCACCAGACCTCCTCCAACCTATAAATGGTCACAGAATACACGGAAAAGTCACTTAAAACTACTCTAGAGATTTAGGCTTATTTTTGGCGAGTGTTAGGCGTTTATATGGCTCTCTTTTTTCTACTGGTATCTTTTTTACGCCAGCTTGGGTGCCAGCTGGTACTGCGTGGCAAGTAGATACTGCATAGCAAATTTGATACTATGCAACCACCAAAAGATCTGCTTGGAAATTAATTAAAAACGACAAAATGAGACTTGGAAAAAGTAATACTTACACAGAAGTGGCTGCTGCCGTGGATATGGTGGTGATAGTAGAACGTCCCGGCAGGGTGGTCGTCTGGGATGTCAAACTCATACTGGTAGGAATCGCCTGGACCAATCTGTAAATAACAGAGACTTGATAAACCATGTATTATATAAGCTCCATCTGTTCTTACACCTCTTGCAGAAGAATTAGTATACTAAAGATCCAGTGAGATGCCACGCTTGTATCACCCTTAATGTACATATGACTTTAGTACCATGGCCTGTGCTTAGCTTGTAATGGCATATATGTACAATACAGGTCTTTTATCAATAACGGAGACATTGTTACACACAAGCGTACAGAAGTTGTTGAACTAACATATATTACGTCTAACGATCTACAAGATCAAAGAAAAAACCTGCCACTGTGTGCAGCTGACGGGCGTCACGTAAGCCACATTATTTGCAGAACTTGTATTTGATATTGGTATTGACATTGCCTGTTTGCCTATTGTCTGGCTATGACTGGTTATCAATAGTTATTCTAGGCTCAAGTGTGTGTCAATCAGTTATTTGAATAGACTGAGTCATTTCCTAAAGATAGGTGTATTATAACGGCTATACAGATCTAGATACAGATACAGTGACAGCCACAGAGTGTTACATGGGCTGTTATCTTTACAATGTGGAGTCGTGTAGCGTAGCGGTAGTGTTCGACTCAGACCCAAGAGGTGAAAATGAGCATTGTTTTGTCCTTGGTGGTGGTATAAAAATAAGTCGAAACGTCACCATGTCTTGTGTTTACATGTTTGGAATTTAAAAGTCGAAGTGGATGTTTCCTGACCTCTATAAAGACGTTGTCCTGTGGTTCTCTAGGCGACACGTGCATGCCGTGTAGGTGCAGGTTGGTGATGTTGGGGCTGATCGGACCGTGACCCTCCGCACGGACTATCTGGTCAGGCCTCATGTTATTCACCTGCGGAAAACGTCACGAAACAAAGAAGAAATGTAATATAGATATTGTATTGAACGTCTTGTCATAAAATTGATGATCCGCTGCTGTAGTACCGTCTACCAAGATAAGAGCAAAACAGAAGACGCAGTTCTTTAATTGCACATACAAGTGGTCTTGCAATTGGAAAAGGGCAAGAAATAGTCATGCCTTCAAGTACCAAAGTTATCAACGACTACTAGTAATTCAGGTGTTCAAAAAGTCGTATTTTCCAAGACCTATCGTAGAATGGAACTCGTTGTTGCCAAATATAAAACAGTAGAGGCATCATTATTAGATAGCGTTAAACAATGTCTACAGTTAGATGTGCAAAGGTTAGGTGTAACAAGTCGCTTGGTGTAATATAGCCAGCTGCCGCCGCGCCGTGTGCCTGCGAATTAAAGCTGATGTGTTACACTGAAGAGCAGTTATACCGGCTATACAGATACAAGACTGTTGTAACAGCTACTGCTCCCTGTAAAGTAAAATAAACGTGCCAGAAATGATAACCACCAGCTTGATGTAGAGTTTGTCTCCCGGCCGGACGCGCAGTGTCGGACCCGGGATCTCGCCGTTGTAGGTCCGGCGGTGGATGGTGAGCCAGTCCACGGTGTGAGGCGTCAGGTCCACCGTCAGCGTCACGTTCAGCACTCCGGTGCCGTTGGAGGAGTACTCCGTGGGAATTCTCAGGTCTTCCGCTCCTGTGTAAGATGTGAAAGATTCATGAAGATATTTTTCTTCAGGATAGAAAAAAACGTAAGTTTAGAAAGACATTTCGAACAAGGTAAACTAGCCCCTAAGAGAGATAACTAATTCATTTGCACAACTTACCAGTGAAGGGACAAGGGTTGTAGTTGTCACAGATACCTGTCGCTTCTGGTAGCCACCAAATCACACATAGAAGCAATATCGTTACATGACGGACGGCCATTCTGGGGACGAAGAAAAGACAAGTTACCTCATGATATACACTTCTCATTCACCCACAGCCTCTTCACAATTTATAGCGACAACACAAACTTGGGTCATTTTGTGGCCAACTAAAGAGCCTGTTGGAGACTAGGAGAGGGTCATGCCGGGTCACAGGTGCTCAAATGACACCTGATACGTCTGACGTCAACATGGCCCTCAACTGGCATGGAACTATATACACATACCTCCGAACTCATGAGCAAATGATAGAAAGAGCGAGTGAGTGAGTGAGTGATCGAGTGAGTGAAAATACATCATCAATGAGTGACAATAGCCTCTCCACAATGTACTCGCTTCTGATTTTAAACAGACAACGACAATTTTCACAAAGATGCAATTCAATGTGAAGAGAGGCAGACATGCGTGATCAAGCTAGAAAGGAGTGTCGTTACTAAAAAAAAATTATAGATCCGGACAAGAGGAGTTAATAGTTAAAAGAGGGTTAAGTCGTCCCCTGAAGCTGAAAGTTTTTGTTATGGTCAGAGATTTCTGGTTTATTGGGACATCAAAACAGTTTAGACAGCCCACCGCATCATGCATAGCCTAGTTTGGTTTAGGTAGGACACAACATAAACTTAGACATTCTTTATGAGAACAAGGCAACTGTGTTTTGCACGGCACTTGCACGACTATCCCCAGAATGCCTTCATTGTGTGATTGTACAACAAAGAATTTGATCGGGCCCTAAGCGTTAGGTGTTTGTGTGGTCGCCTAGCGAGGCGCCCAAACGGTTTTTCCTAGTGCCGCCGACAAGACACCTGTAGTTTGAAGGACACTTGCACGACTATCACCAGAATGCCTTCATTGTGTGAATGTACAACAATGAATTTGATCGCGCCCTAAGCGTAAGGTGTTTACATGTATGTAGTCGCCTAGCTAGGCACCGAAACGGTATTTTTCAATACCGCCGACAAGACACCTGTAGTTTGAAGGACACTTGCACGACTATCCCTAGAATGCCTTCATTGTGTGAATGTACAACAATGAATTTGATCGCGCCCTAAGTGTAAGGTGTTTACATGTATGTGGTCGCCTAGCGAGGCACCGAAACCGTATTCTCTAATACCGCCGACAAGACAGCTGTAGTTTGAAGGACACTTGCACGACTATCCCCAGAATGCCTTCTTTGTGTGATTGTACAACAATGAATTTGATCAGGCCCTAGGCGTAAGGTGTTTACATGTATGTGGTCGCCTAGCTAGGCACCGAAACGGTTTTCCCTAGTACCGCCGACAAGACAGCTTTGCGACAAATACACGGCCATCCCAAGAATGCCCTCTCAGTGGTTTGCGATTGTAAGACGTTTGTAGCCGGCCTTGAGCTTGGTTTAAGTTGTTTACACCGTTGCCTAGCGATGAGCCCAAACGGTACACCCCAGTGCTGTCTACAATACAGTTGTATTTTGTAGAACACTTGCACGACTATCACAAGAATGCCAAGAGTGGTTTGAGATTGTAAGACGTTCGTAGCATTGAGCTTGGATTAAGTTGTTTACACCGTTGCCTAGCGATGCGCCCAAACGGTATTCCCCAGTGCCGGGTACCTGATCACATGGCGTGTGATGCTCTATGGCTGACGCGTATCATGTTTTCATCCCCCCATTCACTGTGATACGGAGTGTGGGTTTCAGTTACGTACGGACACGGCTCGTACTGGTACGGGGGACAACGGTAACAGGGCCCGTACTGGTACGACAAAACAGAGAATCACTAGCATAACGCTTTCATAAGCGAGTGAATGTGCTATAGCGCTCTCAGACAGGTATTGGTGCACCGGCGGTCTCCACGCGTTCAGTGCCACATTTAGACAGGTAAGTTATGACATCTGTAACACATGCACAGCTAGTACAGGTATGAATAGTAACAATAGCAGGTCTTGTTGTACCGGTACTATACTAGCATAACGCTTTCATAAAGGAGTGGACGTGCTTAAGCGCTTACAGATAGATCTTGGTGAACAGGTCTCCAGATTTAGACAGGGAAGTTGTGACATCAGCAACAAATGCATCTCTCGTGCAAGTCTTTTAAACATATACTGTACGAGCCTAAGTGAACAATGTGTAGGGTTAGTATTATGGGCTAAGCTTATTGTTTGGACAAACACTATGGGATAGTTTTGTTCAGGGGCCAGGCAGCTTGTATCATACTTACAGTATTGCACTTAAGAGCAGTGTATATATTAAAGAGATAAGTTTACAGACAGGTAACATTCTTGCACTAAAAACGGGTGCCTATCCAGTAGGGTTTGGTAAGAAAACCTCAACACGACTATTTGAACCTTCTCGGCATGTCACATATTGTTAGCTGAATATAGCCTCCAGCAGGCCTTCCTACGGGGGTACCGATCGTTGAATTCGCCAAGAAAATAAAAGTAACTGGCCAGGAGTGTCAGTCCGCAGCCGCGGGAAGGTTAATTTCCCTCCTACCTGCGCTCTCAAACTAACTCTATAGTGGTCTATTTTTTCCCTATTTAGTTCAATTTTACTGTTGAATCTGCGTTGTTAGTCTGGTGGAGACTAACCTGAACAGGGGAAATGCTATCCCTTGGTTTCCGTCTCGCAAACATGCATGTGCACACACACAATGTAAACGTTTTGAATACAATCTTTTGCATTGTGTTTACAAGTAGATAAACAACATGCGACAACGCGATTGTGTGTGATTGTGGATTAATTCATTAATTTGTCTCGTTGGTGCAGCGCAAGTCAAATGCTTGTTTATCATTGGACTGACACGTCTGAATTGATTGATCAAGGCGAACGTAGGATTTGCTTTTCTTTCGTATACAGATTAACTCTAGAAAAGAGGATTACTCTCCTCACGAATTAGGCGTAGATTATGAGTGTATTTGCCTTGTGTAAGGATTAGACGTGGACTTATCTAAACTAGACTAATCTTCGAGTCCTTTTGATGCCAGTGGAATTTGTGGCGACACAAAAAAATTTCTACCCGAAAACACCAACTAAAATAGAAACTATTATTATATATGTTAGCTTTTTGTATAAGAGGACTAAATAAATATCAAATTGTTTTCTTTTCTTGTATTTTTCCATCATTTGATGCCGCCGTTAGATCTTGAACATATGCTTGGATTCTAAAGCCAATTGTCACTTTTCAGCTTTTGATTGTCCTTGGGATAGGTGTCCCCTTATTCAGGTCTACGTGCGGAAAAAGATGTTTTTCACACTATAAATACCCGCGTTTCCTGTATCATAAGATAAGAACAGCGTAAACTCAATACGCTTAGTAGGCAAACCTGGTAAGAACAAAAAACAACGTCAGATGGTTTTTCTCATAACCTGACACACCAGTGACCTCCCAGGTCACGGACTAGCCTCTACCAGGCTTCAGAGGCGGCTGGAAAGAGTAAAAATTGGACAAATAGACAGTTAACAAAGCAGGAGAGTTTTTCCGCTAAAGGAGTATACAGATTTCAGATTTCAGGCGTTGCAATTTGTACTCCTTTAGTGGACCAACTCCCTTGGCATGTTACCTGTCTGCCAAACTCTACTCTTTACAGCCGCTTCTGAAGCCTGGTAGAGGCTAGTGGATTTGGTATAAGATTATAACGTCTTTGTGCCGTCTATGTCTATTTGGACAGTAATACATTAATCCATAATTGATTAATCATAGTTTTTACAGAAACTACCTTTAACTTTTACAAAGAATTTGAACGCACCTGTTCCGTAGCATGAAGTAACTCTCATACAAAAGATGAGCCGCATACAATTTACACTATCTTACGGTTAAATGCTACCCAATAGCTAAGGCTATAGCTCCAAACTAAACTGTAGTGGTCCGGCCTTAAAATCTAGTTTGATTCCCAAACGAGCGTCTTTTTATTTGTGAGTAAAACTGCGCACGCGCGTCGCGTGGTTCGGAGGGCTTTGGGGGCGTGGCCAGAAATGTGCAAAATCGGCAGGAGTCTTGGGGGTCAAAGGTCATCGATTAAGCTCACCAATGAATTCGTATAACCCCCACGAGCTATATGTACCAGTACGTCACACTGTATATGTTATCGAAGTATATACATAATTATATATCCATTAGTAAATATGGACATGTGATAACTGCAAGATAACTGGTGCAAAAACCCTTATAGACATAAAACTGATGTATGGCATATGGTGTACTACAGATAGCCGATGCATTTTAGTGTCCAAACAGTGTATAGGGCTACAATGCTTTTGACACCAATCTTTCAGAATTTTCGAAAACGAAATTAAAAATAAAAACGCTGAAAATATTACTTTGGAAAGTCCACGTTCACTTAGTACATTAAATGTTGTACCTGTTCTACTGATCTAATGATACCCTTTACTGATATCGAAGATCATTTACGTTTCAGACTTCACCATGTGGACCACAGCCTCAGTGCTCGGGCTGCTGTGTGTTTTCCCGGTCCTGACTACAGCATGTGACAACTCCGATCCGTGCCAGTTTACGGGTACGTTCTATATGGCCTCTTTTAATATATTATTTGAACCACGCATCCTGAGCTTCTAGTCAGTCAGCATATCGTGTGGGAGTCAGCAGAGGGAAGTAAAAGAAGGGGTAGAAGAAGCATAACCTACACTGACAACCTGTGGGATGCTGGGATCAGAAACATCCCCACAGCAGAACTCCGCTCACTGATGGAGGACAGGGACGAGTGGAGAAGAAGAACCCATTGTCTCCCGTGTTGACATCCTAGATGTCCCCGTTCAAGAATATCCTGATAATAGAATTCGAATGCAAAAGGAAAATGCGGACATAAAAACCCAGCTTTTGTGTGGACGATATAATGTTGAGAGTTGCATGTTAGTTCTCTGTCTTCCTGCCTGAATTCTACACTATATATTTGTTTATATTTGCGTTCCAGGTGGTCAAGCGTACACCCCAACGGCCGAAAGGACGTCATCCAACGGAGGCTTGGTTCAAACCTTGACCGTTGACATCAGTGACGTCACTATTGAATGGCTGACCGTACAGAGGAGAACTTACAACGGAGGGTTTCCTGGGCCGACCTTTCGACTCAAGGCCGGAGACGACTTAAACATTACCCTGGTGAGCCAATCTTTATGATTATTAAGGCCACACTGACTTAATCTTATGGATAACATCCTCTCAAGACCCAAAAATTAATGCACGCTGGCGAATAAATAAAAGTCCAGTCAAAGAAATAAAAACCGGTGCTAAACCACAGGAATATGAAAGCTGGTATTGCGAATTTGCGGTTGTACATGAGTCAGTATTGTTTTAGAATTGGCCATATAGTACACGGATTGCATGCAGTTGTAACTTAAGACATAGCTAAAGAACACTATCTACCAGGATAATGTTTTAATACGCATTGCCATTATGCTAATAAAACACATACCCTTTACTGTGCCTTTACTGGTACAGCTAATGGTATATCTGAATATTTGGTACTTTCAGGTGAACAACCTAGGTCCCCAGCCGGCGGGGGAACACAACGAGTTCCGGGACCCCAACACCACGAACCTGCACACCCACGGGCTGCACATCTCACCCCTGGAGCCGCAGGACTACGTGCTACTGGAGGTAGGCTGTGTTACACAAAGCTTGTGGCCATACACTTCTAACTCTAGAGGACCACTCCCATTCAAAAGACCATTCCAGCAAAATGAGCTCAGGAGTCTCTGTGACTTCCCTTGTCACTATACATGCCAGTCATTACAACCTCAAACATAGTAATACTAGTAGACACTTCTCAGTCTGACAATGGTTAGTACATGTCAGCACATACGCATAGATGTTCCCAATCCTCCTGACATAGAGGTGACGGTCACAAAGCTCCAAGAGGCCTGACCAGTGAGAGAGTTGCTAGAAGCGTGCTTTAGCATGGCTAGACTTTCACAGCTATGCGTATTCCATGGTTAACCGTAACGGTCACTATGTTGAACACACACACCACCACCAGCCACACTTCTGTAGTAGCCTATGTACTTGTCTATGACTAGGGCTATGAAAATGAAGAGCTGTTAAACTATGTGCCTTAGTTAGTTCCTGATTCTATATTCTGTCCTGCTATTCCCCAGGTTGGTCCCGGTGAGACGTACGAGTATAAGTTCGAGCTGAACGCAGACCAGCAGGCCGGGACGTTCTGGTACCACGCACATCACCACGGGTCGACGTTTTTCCAGGTGGGCAAGATTTCATGTAAAATATGTCCCTTGTCCCTTTCAACAGTCTGACACACAGGCTAGATTCTGCGTTCGCCATATCACTTCTTATGTGTATCGTTTAGAAGAAATGACCTGTACAACATTGTGATGCCTCCCTCAGGTTGCAAGTGGCCTGGCGGGGCTGTTGATTGTAGAGGACGAACCGAGCTCCATGTCTGCAGAACTAGCCGCCATCTCCTGTCCCAACAACTGTAACAAGGAGGTTCCCATGCTGCTGGGCAACTTTATAGAGTACAGCGGGGGCGGGGCGACTTTCGCGTCCGTGCAGGAAGACATTGGAGATCCCTTCACGTAAGTAACAGACTTTGTATATCATTAGAAATAAAGCTTTACAAGTTCTTTACGTGAAAACAATTCGAGTCACAAGCTTAACCATTAGAACAAGAAACGTCTTTGGAGTATAATTTCCAAGCGGATCGTACGCGGTTAATTTCTGACTTAACCTCCAAATGCTGACTCTATATAACAGGCTATGAGATGGAACCATTTCATGTCTTGAATCTGTGAAAGGATTTAGGTGGGATTTAGCTGGTGTGCTACGCCGAAGGGCGGTTATACCGGCTATACCGATACAGATACAGAGGTGAAAATCAAGATGCTATTGAGGACACGTTTTGCCCATGCCATTGATGCTTTGTGCAAACAATTGACAGAAACCCTTGGACCAACAGCTAAACTACTAGTATTAAGGGCTAACAACCGAGAGGCTCTATTATAACTTTTCTGTGTCCCTGCAGCCTGGACGACACAGTGGTAACTACTGCGGGAGTGACGCTCAATGCTTACCTGACGGACCAACAGACCGGGGTGTCAGCGTACATGGTTAACGGTAAGGCAATATCTTATTGTATAACCCTTATTGTATCATCTATAACCCTTATAATTTGACGTATAGGAAAGTGATCTCAGTCCGTTTTAGTTCACTGAAGAGCTGAACCCCCGTTGGTCGTGACAGAGAAGACAGACGCTGTATACAGTATTTACAGGTTCATTGTACCGGGGAAATTTAGCGTATTATAGCTCCCAAGTCATCTTTTCCGCTATTTGCGTAGAGGGCGTAGGGCTTGGGAGCTATAATAGGTATGGTAACCAGGCTAGGGAAATTTCCCTAGCTCTTTTCGACAAGCACAATGAACAGTGGACCACGGCTTAACATCCCGTCCTAAGGACTGTGGCCCTTTCCAGTAGCGTGCATGTGGAGTGAGCGACAACAACCACTGAACTACGCGCGCTACCCATGCACTTGATCATCTTCCTTCTACTCCCATGTACAGGACAGGTCCGCCCAACCATCACAATGCAGCCAGGCGAGATCAGGCGGTTCCGTATGGTGAACGCAGGTCCCTCAGACATGCTGCTTCTCACCATTACAGGTAAGTGTGCATCAAAGTGTGTCTCTAAAGTTTAACTATCATATAAACACATTGTATGTATCGGCACAAGGAAAACATATGGGCCACTGTGACAGTGTTTCGTAAATTGTCAATAGACAAGTTCAAGGTTCAACATTCACTGCACGTGTAATATCCATTACAATTACTCATTAACTTGTTCTTCAACAGACATCCTGTGGTATTGGATTGTATTATGTAGCAAGTTGCAGGACAGAGTTGGAGGGGCTGGGCAACATGTACATCAATGCATTTTACTAAGAAAAAACAGAGCAGTGGTTTGTTAGCCTAGGCCATGTGGAGGTAAACATGGTTTTCCCTACCTGTCCAGGCTGTGAGATCACCATCCTGGCGTATGACGGTGTGTATGTGGACACGCCCTACTCCCAGGACTTCATCTTCATCCCGACTGGAGGACGGTGTGACGCCGCTGTCAGATGTGCAACGGCAGGAACCTACGAGGTAATAGATGTGAAAAAAGTAGTCCCGTAACCTTTCACAGGCAGTAGGTACAGTACGTTGTTAATCCATTGTGTCTAGGACACGATGCAAGGTAAAGCCCATCCCTCTCCTTCCACTACTTTGAACCTCTCCCGAAATTTCATGCTTTTTCAAGCTACTTTGACAATATTCTTTTTTTTTTTATTCATTGGTTTTAAAACTTTTAACAAGTGGAGGATATACGTTATATAGTACGTACATGTGCGACAGCTAAGAACAGAACATAAAATGTTATTCTTTCACCAGATGAGATCAGGGGAAGATACCGCTCACGAGCCATCTATCGGGGACACCGGTATCTACGGAGGAGTCATCGCCACCATTGAAGTGACAGGTATCTAACCATTCCCTAGCTTTGTGAAACTATACAAGTGTAAGTATGTGTATACAAGGACAATGATACCAGATGAGGGAATTTGCTGATTATTCTCTAGAGTTTTGACATAGTCACTGATATATTTCTGACTGTCCCTTTGCACTATGAAGGTGCTTCAGTGTCCATGAACTTCCCGACGGCAACGCCAGCGAAACCGTCCTACCTGGACGACCTGCAGAACGTAGCGAACTCCTCCATCGGGGGCAGGTACGTGGTGGAGCTCGGGCCGACTCCCTTCCTGAACCGCGAGCAGTTTACAAACACCACGTACTTCCGATACAACTTCGACGTGGACACCATCCAGGTAGGGCAATATCAAGCATTTCAGTCTTCTGGCCTGTATATGTAATGAAAAACAATACAAATTTACTGTACATGATATTGAAGCCGTAATATAGGCCGTAATACCGATCTCTAATGCTAGCTAAAATGCAAAACAACTGCTACATTGTCATTTAGACTACCACCAGGTAGGCTTTGTATAAGGCATTTCAAAAAATTTCCTTGTAGCATCCATCGTTTCCATTGGCATACATTTGTTGAAACTCAATCTGTTGTTTTCAGCAATGGGTGTTTGTCAACAGTGACGAGGACTCAGGACATCCTCTCCACATGCACGTCACACACTTCCAGGTTATCGCTTACAACGCCTACAACGGGGCTGTCACTGTGGGGGGTGGGGGCGGCGGCGGTGGTGGTCCAGGAGGAGGTGGTAAGTCAACAAACAAACAAGCAAGCAAGCAAACAAACCGTACACACGAGCTATGTCAATGTCACTACAAGGAAATAATTCATGTTGCCAAACGCGACATGAATTTCCTGGATATGAGCATTAACGCATGGGAGACATTTGCAGCAAACAAAATACTTTGCAGACAAGAACGTATTAAGATAGGATTGCAATGGGGGAAGATAACAGACTTGCTTTATGACTAAGACAATTAAGACATTAAGTACATTTTGTGTAGATAGTGTATTAACTCATAGTCCTGTCAGGCGTACGATTGCCTACTACTACTAGTATTACTACTACTACTACTACTACTACTACTACTACTACTACTACAACTACTACTTCTACCACTTCATTGCAATAAACCATGAACACATAAAATGTACTTATAAGGTCTAAGTCGGTACAGTCCCCCGTCAAAGGAACAGGCTGGCATGCTATCCCAGCATTATCATTTACAACAAAAGTGTTATGATGATAATATCTGCCTGTCCCTTACAGGACCACCTCCTGGAGGACGCCGTCGTTTGCTGCAAGGCGGTGGAGGTGGCGGTGGTGGCGGCGGTGGTGGAGGCGGAGGTGGGGGTGGAGGTCCTGGACCATTTGCGTATTATGACTTAAGCGTACGTATTCATCTCATGCATCACACCATCACATATGTTAGAAAGTCCTCCAATGATGTTAACAGTTCATAACTACATTTGTATCCCATACTAACCACCCACTCTTGTATTAGTTAGGTTAGCCTTTATGGTGTTCAGCACCAAGGACAGGCATGTTCAGTTCTGTGTGGATAGTTTCAGCACAAGGGACAGGTGTGATGTTGGCCATCTATATATTCAACCATGAAATCGCAGTGTACATATAGTTGATTATGTATATCTATAACGTTATATTCTACAGGGCAATCTATGCGACCAGCAGCACAGAGATTTCGACCCGAACGCCATCGTAGCTGACCCCATCACCGTGGATACGACCTACCTCGGCCATGACACCAACGATCGAAATCTCGCGGGTTACGCGAGAATTGGAGAGTTCCGAGATGTGCTTCTGATCCCCCCATTGGCCAGCGTCACCGTCCGCTTCAAAGCCACCGAGTAAGTTTTAACACTGTTAGTAATTTTTCTGACAATCTTCTTGGATCCATTAGTGGCTATACATTAGCAATACAAAACAGGTAGTGATTGGTTTGATGAAGGTTTGGTTATAAGAAAAATCATTTGCTGTTCAGGTATATTACGAACTATGGTCTTTTAGGCAGAAAACGCGTGGGACAGTTGCGGTCGCAATGTCGCCCCTGCCTGCAAAGAAACTAATGGACAGAGCCAAAACTTAAACGAAAACTGAACAAATCTCAAATAAAGTACGACTTTGGCGTTGGACTAAAACGCTTTAAATTTGTGATTTTTACAAGTTTTAAAAAGTGCGTACTTGCACGGAAATTTGCGGTATAACCCTGATGAACTGTTGTCCCTGCAGCTACATCGGTCCGTACGTCCTGCACTGCCACATCCTGAACCACGAAGATGAGGGAATGATGATGGTGACATACTCTACCCCATCCGGCCAGGCCACGGCCAGCCCCTGGGAGTCTTCGGGCGGACACAACCCTGGAACCTGCAAGGCTACGGACGTGTACCCCGATATCCTGCAGAACACTAGCGACGGGAACAAACATGCAGTCAATACGTAAGTCTAGACAATACTTGTTACTATCTTTGTGTTTTCTGTATATTTTTGTACCATGTACGTGCAAAATATGCGCATAGATGTATTATGTCCTTTTTTAATGATGTAAACTTTATCTTATCGATATATTTTGTCTGATCCTTACCTCTTCCATTATGACCTCAACGAAAAGCGGCCTGGGGCTAATTTGAGCTTCTCATGAATAAAAGATTAATTCAAACAAACAAACAAACAAACAAAAATCTATTCTCCACTGATAATGTGATGGTAGCATCTTCACTATATGCGTTTGACTGATGTTTAGGGTTTCAAAATATTCAATGTTGAACCGAATTGTTGCCAAAATCGATCAGTAAAAATGTAAAAGTGTTGCTACTGTACATACGTGACATCTGTACATATTTGTAACGTCTATGATTTTTCTTACAGATGGCTGATGGCTACCTTGATGCTGATGGTGGCCTGTGCCAACCTTTTGTAGTACAGTAGCCACGCAAATATTTCCTAGAGACAAGCTTCGCACAATAATACTATATAGTTCAGAAAACGCAGCTGACAGCTGAAGTCTCTAACTATATGCAGTCTTATCTAAGACTGAAAGATAACAGAAGACAGGAGGAGGTTCCGAAATGTAAAGCTTATTTGTATAGTACAGGAGCCAATATCTAAAAGTGAGAGTGTAAGCGATAGCAAGTATGTTGTTTTTGTTTGATGTTGCTGCATCGGTTGATGGTTAATTACAAGGACAAGTTACTTTTATCATGTTTTTCTGTAAAAAAATTAACGTGTTCTGTGCTGCTGATAGTTATTATTACTATATCACTGCCAACTTAATCTTTTGTATACAATGTAACATGCTGATTTTTGATGTTTAAAACATGATGCAGTTGTTGTTTTGCACACTTTGATTATGCTAACTCTCTAATGCTCTGAGTACGGTTCACTTTCTAGCCATGTTTGGTGTAAGGTGGCAGGAACTGCACTAGATTCTAACTTATTCTAACTTATTACACATTAAGTTCTAACTTATTCTAACTTATTGGGTTCGACTTCTTTTACCGAGACAGTGGAAGACGAATCATCTTTCAACTTTTTCTGTAATGTGTGGGTAGATGTGATGTTAAGAGGAGAGTAGTTTTCTTTTTATCTGTAAACTTGAAGAACTTAGGATGGAATTTGAAAACAGGTCCTTTCTTTCGAGGTCGTAGAAGGGGCAGTTTGAAAGAAAATGTCTTTCTATTCTGAAGACTATTTGTAATAGAATTATATTGAAATAAAAGAGCATCTACTTGTAGTGGGTGTCTATACAACGAATGTCGAGTTATTCAACGAATAACCTTCAAGTTGTTATTGTGTGATTGTGCGACAACGAATTTGATCGGGCCCTAATGCTGAGGTCACAATTCCCACACAGGGAATTTGGGCAGCTTTTGGGAACGAAAACTACGATACAGAAGACAACAAAACATCGAAATGCTCTTAATAACAATCATGGGTCCTATTTCTGTATATATTTATATGAATAGTTAATTTTTCGTTCGTACAAACAGCCCGGCCGGGCCCCGGTTTGGAAATGTGACCTAAGCATTAGCGTAAGGTGTACAATTATGTGGTCGACTAGCCAGGCCTAGGCGCCCAAACGGTATTCCCCAGTACAGCCGACAAAAAAGCTGTACTTTGTACGACACATGCACGGCTATCATGCTATAATGTCCTCTCAGCGCTTTCCGATCGTACAACGTGGGGTCGTGTGGCGCAGTCGGTAGCGCGTTCGGCTCACACCCCAGAGGTCGCGGGTTCGAACCCTGCGCATGTCACCGATCTTGTGCCCTTGGGAAATGCACTTTACACGACTTTCCTCACTTCACTCAGGTGGAAATGAGTACCTAGCTTCGGTTAAGGACGTAAAATGGAGGTCCCGTGTTTGGGAGAGCCACACCCCATGCACGTTAAAGAACCCACCGCACTAATCGAAAAGAGTAGGGGATCTTCCCGGTGTGAGTGGTTCAAAACCTTACAGTCCGGTCTTACGCAGCTTGTACATGTACGCACATGTACGAAACTGGTGTGTTACGCCTAAAGGCGGTTTACCGGTTATGAGAAACAAACAAAAGAAAAAAAAAACAACGTTCGTGGCCTCGAGCTTCGTTTGAGATTGGACTGTCTCTATGGCGACCAGGCGGTATTCCCCCGTACCCGGTACCCGATCACCCGACGCGTCATTGCGTTGTCATCTCTCCATTCACACCGACATGGAGTGTGGGCTTAAGTGACGTAAGGGTACGAAGGGCAACGGTAACACGGCTCGTACTGGTACGGCACAACTGTCACTAGCAAAACACCTGCATAAGCGCGTGGCTCAAGTGTTTTAGCGCTCACAGACAGATTTCCGTGAACAGGCGGCCTCCACCTTTCAACAGGTAATTTATGACCGTCACGGTAGTAACACTGGTAAGAATGACAACAATAGCGTGTTCGGTATTGGTAAGGGGGAAACAATGACTCACTAGCATGAGTAGATGTACTAAGCTTAGGCGCTCACAGACAGATATTAGTGAACAGGCCTCCAGATTTAGACACTCACGTAAGTTGTAACAATAATAACACTTGAACCTGTCGTAACGAATGACAACGTCCCGTGCTGGTACGGAACAAGAATGAGTCACATAGCAATAGCCTTTATAAGCGAGTGGGGGTACTTTGGCGCTCACAGACAGATATCGTGAACAGGTGCCCACGTTTAGGTAACAGGTAAGTTGTGCCTAACGCCTTTTAAACAATAATATACGAGGTAAGCGCACATTGTGTAAGGTTAGCACTATAGATTAAGCTTGGTTTTGGATAATTGCTATAGACTAACATTGTTCAAGGGCCAGGCGGTTTATACGCTTAATTGCACTGTTTAAGGCCCGTGGAAGTGAGTTTACAGTAAACAATAAGTAATTATTTCACGCCCGTGCGCACTAGTTCGGAGGTCTTCAGAGGATATCGATGTCATTCATGAAATTATGTCGGTGTGGCCTAATCTCCAAGCAGATCCCTCTCGGTGGCAAAAAGACAGTATCAAATTGGCCAGGCAGTATCCATTAGCCAGAGAAGCTCCGCGGCTACCGACGGGTTGGTCGGGGTCAGGACAAAAAAACCCGGCCATATATAAAAAGGTAACGATCATTCCCCCACAACCTCTGCTTGGAGAGTAGGTGTGGCCTTCGGTCTCATCTCGCAAACATGAACGTGCACACACGCAATGGTGACGTCTTTTGTGTTGTGTTTACACAAAGTAGATAAACGGCATTAATATAAGTTGAAAAAACTTGAGTGTGCCGTCACCACGTCTTGTGATTGCATGTTTAAAAAAAAGTAGATAAACAGAGCATGGCAACGTGATATTGTATTGGGTATGTAATGTGTGATTGTGGATTAATTGATTAACTAGTTTCGGGGGTGCAGCACAAGTCAAATATTTGTTATTCGAACGAATAGTTTGTACTTATAAACCTGCATTTCTTCTCTGGTCTCTTCAAGTCACTGACGAAAGGTAGTGGATACTACCATAAACATCTGACCGTTTCCAAAATCATATCCAGTTGCTTGCGTAACTGCTTTTTTTTTGCGTATCTTATTACCTAGATGTCTAACCTTCATCGACGTATGGCCTACTATAGTTACTATACCTGGTACTACAAATTCTACGGCTCGAAGATCTTTGAAGATGCTAAAAAATACATTAATCTAGTACTCCGGAAAGTCTATTTTCACCATTGACATAAAATGTTTTGCCAGTTGAAAGACAAGGTCCTCATATCTAATCACACACCGAAGGCATCCTTATATCCTATATTGTGTATAAAATTTGTGCAACCTCAATGTATCCTTCAACATTCCTGCTTCAGACTTCACCATGTGGACCACAGCCTCAGTACTCGGGCTGCTGTGTGTTTTCCCACTCCTGACTACTGCATGTGACAACTCCGATCCCTGCCAGTTTACAGGTAAGTTCTATATGCCTCTTTACATATCATCTGATACACATAAGGTAAATATATCAAAGAATGTTTAGACCTTAAAGCATCTAGATAGAACAAGTAGTATAAGATGATACATTCATAGCCTTGTACGTAGGTCAATACTTTTGTACCAGGTCCTACGTGTCTTTCTGTATCAGTGTATGTCTAGTTATGGATCATACGAAAGTCGCTGTACTTTTGTTGTGTCAATAAAGTTCTCTCATACCTTATAGAGCCATACACGGTGTATACACTGAGCGCAGAATTTGAATTCGAAGGGAAAAGTCGGACATTAAAACCCAGCTTTTGTGTGGACGATGAAATGTTGAAAGTAGAATAGTATTTTTCTGTCCCCCTACCTGATTGCTGCACTACAACTAAGTATATTTGCGTACCAGGCGGTGACGCGTTCGTCCCAACGGCCGAGGTGACGTCATCCAACGGAGGCTTGGCTCACACCTTGACCGTTGACATAAGTGACGTCACTATTGAATGGCTGACCGTACAGAGGAGAACGTACAACGGAGGTTTACCCGGACCGACCTTTCGACTCAAGGCCGGAGACAACTTTGACGTTACACTGGTGAGCCAGCATTAAGTCTTTAAGAAAAGGCTTATACCTTAAACATGACATAACTATACTTCTAGGTCCATAAAAGCAACTAATGCCTTTGTAATCCAAAAATTCCGTACTTTCAGGTGAACAACCTGGGTCCCCAGCCGGCGGGTGTACATAATGACTTCCGGCAACCCAACACCACCAACCTGCACCTGCACGGCCTGCACATCTCACCCCTGGAGCCGCAGGACTACGTGCTACTGGAGGTACATAGGCTGGAAGTAGCCTGGATTACACAATCTTTCAGTGTCAGTGTACATGTAGCCTATTCCAGAGGGAGAACCTCATTAATCAAACCGGGTAGGCGCGCTGCCTCCACACGTGTTTTGCGTTAGTGTTGCATTGGGTCTCGTCCGCGAATGCTTGAGGTCATA